AGGGGGAGTGGGAGAGGGAGAAGCAGGCTTCCCGCCGAGCAGGGAGCCCGATGCGGGGCTTGATCCCAGGATCCCGGGATCATGACCTGGGCCGAAGGCAGACGCTTAACGACTGTGCCACCCAGGCTGCCCCTTTAATACTATTTTAAATAGGAACCCCCAGTGCTCACTCAGCTTTGCTGAGTGGGAGAATTAGGGAGGTACAGCAGCACACTCTTATCTCAAGGCTTTTGCAACTCCTAGTGTCTCTGCTTAGAACTTCCTTCCCCCAGGGGCGCCTGGGTGGCTCAGTCAGTAGATTATGGGACTCTTAATCTCAGGGTCCATGAGATTCTCAGGGGTTTTGAGTTCAAGCCCCACATTGGGCATGGACCCTACTTCAAAACAAGAAGAACCAAAAAAAAAAAAAAAAAATCCCTTTTTCCAATGAGTAACCCTAATCCTCATCTAGCTACTCCCCACTTCATTCACAGTTATGCAAATGTCACTTCCTCTGAGAGGCCTTCCCTGACTACAGTTTTCTGTCCTCTTACTCTATTCCATTTTTCTTCATAGCACTATTTCATTACGAATTACATACTTGTTTATTTTCAGTCTCCCCCATGAGAATGTAACCACCAGAACAGGGATTTGTTTTGTTCACTGCTCTATTCCTAGCATCTAGAATGATGCTTGGCACTAGGCAATCAGTATTTAGTGAATGAATGACATGAAGGTTTGGTGCATCCTCTTATTCACTTACTGCTGGCGCCTACTTAGGACTTGTCACATGATCCTCTTTATGGCCACCTGGTTTTGACATGTTCTTCTCCTCCCAGGAAGTCTCCCCCTCTAGCAGCCCTTTTCCCAGTTGGCCCTACCTTAGGCTAATTGCTGTCTTCCCACTTAAACCTTCCAAGACTTAAATGATTAATATGCCCAAGGAACTAGACCTCTGCTTTTAGTCTGTGCGAACAGAAATAGCCAACGTACCAGGCAAACTTTTCCTGAGCCCTAACCCTATGCATAGGTCTGTGCTAGGTGCTGTGAGAGATGCAATCCCAGTCCGTAACCTTGAGAAGCACATTCTGAGAGGCAGGAAAGTATACAACACAGTACTGCCTGGCATGGAGTCCCAGCTTAACTGCTTACTTGCTGTGCGACCTTGGGCAAGTTTCCTCATTGTCGTAAGCACCAGTTTCACGGTCTTTAAAAAATAAGTTAGATGCCTGGGTGGCTTAGTTGGTGGGTTAAGCATCTGCCTTCGGCTCAGGTTATGATCCCACTGTCCAGGGATCGAGTCCCACATCAGGATCCTTGCTCGGTGGGGAGCCTGCTTTTCCCTCTGCCTGCTGCTCCCACTGCTTGTGCTCCTACACTCCCTCACTCTCTCTCTCTCTGTCTCGCTCCCGTGCGCATACACAAATAAATAATAAAAGATCTTAAATTAGAAAGTGTAGTAATAGTATCATGGGGTTGTTCTGAGAATTAATTGAGATAATGCATGAAAAGCTAGCAATGTGATGGTGTACTTAATGTAGTTGGCACTCGGTAAAAGTCAGCCAGCAAGCATCCTTGTTAGTAAAGATATTAGCCTTTATGTGTCTGTGTCGTGTTTGGTTCCTGAATTCTATGGACAATCAAACCTCCCCTTATTTTGTGTCATGTTACTAGTACCCCAACCCTAGCGGCTCTATTCTCCAGTGCTCAGGTGAATTACTCCTTTGGTAGCAGCACTCAGAGTCTCCATGACAGGAGGCTGGAGGGTAAGAGAGAGTGAAGGTCCTGTCACTGACCTTCACTCCCAGCTGTTAGGGGCAGTCACACTGAATCACTTGTGTTGATAAAAATAGTAAATGTGACTCTTGGAGCATTAGCTCCAAAAATCAGCCCCCTTAGGGAGATTTGTTATTTGTCTGGGACACTAACTGAAATGCCTTTTGAAAACCCTCAAGTGCCATAGCTCACCTGAAGTAGGGCTTGGCTTAACTTGCCCTGCTCAGGTTGTGCCTGGAGTACTTAGAGATCAGATCAGCTGTTCCAGTATGAAACCACTCCTGTGGTTTGTTGGTCTGCAAAGCATTTCAGTCCATTATCTCATTGGATCCTCCCAACAATCCTGTAATCAGCATGATAGATTTTACTGTTACCATTTTTATGTGAGGAGATTGAGATTATGTAAAGCGAAGTGACTTACCTAAAATCTCACAGCTAGTAAGTGGCAGTCCAGACTCAGAATCAGGTTTTCTGGCTACAAACCCAGTGTTCTTTCTGTATACCTTATTAGTTGTTACAGAGTTCTTTATATTGATTCAAAATCTCCCTCCTTGAGCCTAGTTCAGGGTACTCTTGGATACCACACCACAGAAAACTAGTTTAAAAATAAAAACGGAGGCCCTCGGGTGGCTCTGTCTGTTAAGCGTCCGACTCTCGATTTCGGCTTAGGTCATGATCTCAGGGTCGTGAGATGGAGCCCAGTTTCGGACTCCAGGCTAGGCATGGAGCCTGCTTAAGATCCTCTCCCTCTCCCTCTTTCTCTCTTTCAAACAAACAAATAAATAAAAATAACAATATCTACTTCTAATGTAGGTGCGGGGCAGCAGGTGCTGTACAAACATTGTCTCCGTGGGCTCTTACAGTAACTCTCTAAGGCAGATACTGTTGTCACCATTGCACATACGGAGAAAAACTGATCCAAGATACTAAGTGATGGCCTAGATCACATA